GTTGTTATTATATACCACAAAATGGTGAAACCTCATGTTCTGACAACTCAGCCCCCTGTGAAAAGCCTACAAATCCTTGTCAAACACATGAAAACACCACTAGATCCATCTTTCCAGGCCCCTAAACTAAAGCCACCCCCTCGTCCTCAGGAAGCTTCAACCTCGGAGTGCCAAGAGCCCGAGTTGTTGTTTGGAATCGTTAGGATTATGGGTTTGGGGTTTAGGGTTCAGGGTTTAAGTTGCTTTCAGGGCTATGAGGTATCATGGTGCCTCTGAGAAGGCTAATTAAATAAGTTTGGGGTTTTTATGGTTGTACGTGCTTTACAGCTCTGTTGGGCATTTGTTGGTTTACTAACTAAGGCTGTAGAAGGCTATTGGGTCTTTGTGTTTTACAGGGTTTACAATTCTATAGGGCCAAACGAGGGCCTGACCAATCAGAACGTGCAATTTGGAGCCCACTCTGGTCTTCGGTTGAAGGACCCTAGAGTTTGAGTTTGGGATGCGGCTCTACGAGGTTTCGGAGTAGCCCGATCCTGTCATACCTCTACATATCATGAGGCTGCTGACAAATGGGATCGGACCAAGCACTTTCATCAATGTAGGGGCCTTAATAGTTAGAAGTCAGAATAGGTTTTGGGGGTTCATTATTTTAATTATAGTATAATATACACTCAAACCTTGTTCCAAGTATTGAGGCCCCCTATATTTGACCTTGACCCGGTGCCAAGACTCTGCTCTGTGCTCGAGCTTGAGGGTGGAAGGTTTGCCCTAAATAACTCCGTCGGTTTAGGGTTTTACATGGCTTTGCGATTTAGGGCTGAGGGTTATCGGAAGTGAGGTAGCAATGGTAGCAAATCGATCTCTATCCATGCCCCTCCATCCCGAAACCTTCCGCCTCCGCACGAAATCCTCATCCTCGGCCCTAAGTTCCAGACCTTGGGCCTGCAATCCGCCTTTGCAAAAACCGCCTTAAACGGGAAGTTGCTTATGAAATTATCGATCAACCCCGGAAAAAGTCCTATGAATGCCCCGGAACGCCCCTGCTTCTTTCCCTCATTCCGAACGCGTCCCTTGGAGTTAGCCGGGTTCCTTGCAGCGCCGTGAAAGCTTCCTCAAAGGCTACACTACAAATCGGAGCCCCGGGAATGCATGACAAAATCTATCCATCACCGGCATGAGTACATCCTGATTCTGCAATAGATACATATACGGGCATGCATACATAAAGAGACACACAGACTAGAACTACATGCAGGAAATATTCGTGTCCGAGGCTCTGGTATGCTTGTGCCAAAACAGAGCGAAGCATATGTGCTGCTGCCATGATTTCATACCCAAACGATCTCTGTCTGTGACTTTGACAGGATCTCTTGAGCATGTTGCTGTACAATACATTGGATTCCAATGCTGCGCGGGTGGCGCGCGGCTATAACTAAAATACGGGGGCCTTTATTCCAACATCATTCTTGAGGCTTCCTTAGTAGGCGTAAAGTACTCTATGCTCCAAAACCCTAAATTATATGTATATATATATATATTATACTAGTCTAAAGTGCATGCCGGTCCTCGTTCACCTGCAGCTGCAGCTCGTCGACGCGGGTCTGAATCGCGGTCATCCTGGCTTTTGTAACGATGCCGCCAACAAAGAAGACTTTTCCCAAAGGGTCCAAGTTATAGTATAGTATATACTTTGGGGGCCCCAAGAACCTACAAAGTAGCTACCACATTACTACTTGGACCCTTTGGGTTCGCTGTTCAAGATCTGGTGGTTAGAATCGGATGCTGCAATCTGTCTTGTTCTGCTGAGAAAAGCTGATTTGATACAGCTTCCCTGCTGAAGCCGAGAAGGAGCTGCCCAGAACTCCTCTGAACAACGGCCCAAATGCCCAAACCTTGATCTGACCCCTTACAACAATGAATATGAATATGAATACTATATATATATATATATTTACATATATATATATATATATAAACGAATATAAATAATATATATATATATATATGTGTGTATATATATATATATCAGCATAAACATTATACTGAAAGGCCGAGAAGTCACTGGTCTTCTTTTGCTGCGCAGTCCAACGACACCTCGCGAAAACAATCCTTGCTCTGAGCATCGTTACCACCCGAATCCCGGAGTCTAAGATAGCTCGAGGGCTCCAGTTACTTGATTAGTAGCTTACTAACCGAACAAAAAAGAACCCACGAACCCATTATATAGGCAACTGAAGCCCTAGGGTAGGGCAGGGGCCGGTCTAGAAGTGTTTGGTTTAGGGTTGTATCAGGTCTTCGCTGGGGCAGTAGGTGCAACAAGAGGTTCTGACTTGGCAGCAAGCCACAAAGATGTTTCGTCTCCGTAGAAAAGGAGGTTAAGTCCTTCTCCATATACCCCATAGCCAACACCCCAAAAAACCGAAAAAACTTGTTCCTACACACCCTATGAACCTACCTAGAAAACTGCAACTGCGCGCACTCTCGACTCAGGAGATGAGAACTGCGGCTGCGGGCGCACTGACCTCACGAGCTTGCCCCTGACACACACCCACACGCACATACTAATTTGTTTCGAATATGTAACCCTAAGGGTCCATGTGCCCAAATAATATACTTTGGCCTTAATGTAGTCCCTATATAGGTACTTTAGGGCCAATGTATCTACAATTTAGGTACATGGACCCTTAGGGTAACCCTATTGAATGTGTGTATATGCATGTGAACGTATGCTGTCGGTGTTTTGACGTCTGCAGCCTGTGCCTTGCTGCATCTCTGGCATCTGTGGTTGTTTCAATCCGTATGGGAACCCATCTCGGGGCCACTGTGGGCGTCTTTCGCCGACAGCAGCAATCATGTCGACGTGGCCAGCAATACCAATCGGTAACAACTGAGGCACATAAAACCGCAGCAGGAAGGGCCTGCACACTGGCGTTGCGAACGACATTCTTCAGGGGCCGTCCAGCAGCGAGCGCCATGAAATTGGCTGCTGCCTGCTCTCAGAATCGAAGGTAGACAGATTCTTTCAGAGATATGGCCCTGATATGGTAGCTCAACAACGGCATGTAAAACCATCATCGCAATACGTGGCAATGCAATGTGACACTCGTGCTAGTGCCAATATGGGTGTCGCTGTCATCATGGTCGTCGGTCCTCTGGTGGTGACATATTTCAGAATGATCAGGCACGCTTGTATTGGAGTTTGCATAGTCAGGTATTTCGGATCAGAGTGAGGCCTTCGAAAACAGAAGCTTGCAAAGTCTGCGGCTAGCGCATTAAGGGTAGCTTCTTGTTGTTTAGGGGTAAGGCTTGGGCCCTGCTTTAGGCTTCCAGGTGTAGGGATGTTTGCCATATCGCGTTTTTTCACAGGGCCGCTACGTATGTTGTCTGACTCTCTGTTGCGGAAGCCACGTCTGAACTCTGAACACAGATGTATCCGCTGTTGGCCTGGTCATATGTGGCATTCTGGGCCTGGAGAGTGTGCACGGACACCTGAGCAAGCGTCGCTAATGGGTGACAAGGTTTAAAGTTTCAGGCCCGGTTGAAAAGGCTGAAACTAGTGCTTTAGGGCCTTAGGGGTCACAGGAGCTGATGAGGGTCGAGCCTGTGAGGCTGTAAGCTGAGGGCTGAGGCTCTGTTGGACGTACACTTCAACGAACTCCCGGCGAAATCTACACACGATGGCTCCCGTGTCATCATCACAATCACCATGACCATCGCCATCAGCTCTTTTCATCATCATCATCATCATCATCATCATCACCAACAGCAACAACAACCTCAACATCATCATCGCAATCAAAATCACCATCATCCTGTTCATCAAAGCAGCGACCGCCAACTCCAAATGAATACTGACGATGGCTTCGACAAAACTTCAGCAGCCGGAGCATTTCGGTATCGAAGCATGCATGTCTTCACGGATTCGTAAGAGTCCCAGTGCCGCTCAGCAGCATGAGGAGTCATCCAGACCTTTCGAACAAGTCAGGCGCTGCAAGGCTGGCACTACGATGCCAAGGAGGACCACCGGTCATTGTGCTGACACAACATCCAATCCAGCATGATGATACCCTTCATGGGCGCTAGCAGGCTTGAGCACTGCAACCACTCCACACCCAGCAAGAATGCAACTCTCAAAGATCCTGAAATGCTACGCCTTTGCACCTGACACCTGAACCTCTAAACCTGGGCCTAAATCCTAAACTCCGAGCCAGACCCCAAAGCAAGCGCGACTCCCAGCTTGCGGCCCCTGGGACATTCGGAAGGCTGCTGAAGTTGTAGGTGGAAGGCCAGCCTCGGCGCAAAGCGTTCTGATGCTCGGGAGTCCGGCTTGAAGTAGGTGTCGGGCCAAATGCACAGGGGAGTTTCCAAACATAGGGGACCCTAATATACTACCCTAGATTCTACCCGAGATAGTAGGACCCGTATGATCAGGACCCCGAAATAAGGTACCCCGTATTTTGGGAAACTCCCATATGAGGTTAAGGGCCAGGGGTTTAGGGATCATGTGGGGCGATTGGCTTGTTTAGGATTTGCGGTCAGGTTTTTGGGCGCAGGATTGGGCGCAGTAGGACTATGCACAACAACAAGGAAAGATGATCAACGAAGAGATCGCTTGCAATTCTTTACTGCATAGTCGTCGGTGCAAGACTTGAGGAATCAAGTTGTTGGGGCGTTATTGGCTCGCAGGGCTACAGCATGGCACTTTCTGCTTTGTCTGTTAGGTTTTAGGATGAGGTTGTCCCCAAAATGACCCAGACAGCTTAGGGAAGTGGCGTGGTTTAGCGAGTCACAGGCTTTGAGGGGGGGCTGAGAGGTGAACTCACGTAAGCTTCCATGAATCAGTCATGCCTCGAGTCATAACATCATGCAGAGCACATTCACCAGCCTCCTTCTTCTCAGCTCTTGCCGGATTTCAGGCTGAGTCGGGAACGAAGTCAGTGCTCAGACGGAGGACACCTCCGCCTGTCACGATACGACTTATGAAAGATGGGTATCAATTATCAGGCCGCTTCTGGGCCAGTCAACAGACGAGCGATCTGCAGATATTCTTTCATATCGTGGTCGGCATTCAGCTTGTTCAAAGTCATCGATGCCTCGGGGGGCTTCTCACTGAGAAGCTCCTTCTGAGGCCATGCTCCTTCCCGTGCAATGTGGGCTGAGATGCGTGCCTTGCTCACCAGCACGACCTCGCCGGCGACGTCGAAGCCCTCCAACAAGGGCGCCTTGGCTCCGTTGTAGTTCTGCTGAATTGCCCGAAGAAGTGTCTTGGCCATGCCAACCCGGATCCCTTCGAGTTCGAGTTTCAGCTTTGGCAGCACCTCTGTCAGCCAGGCTTTGCAAAGGGGAATCCGCGGAATGGGGTCCCACTCCTGCACCCAATGCTGGCTAATCGAACACAACTGCTTCCACAATGGAGAAGTTTCTCTCTCCTCCCCTTCCTCCTCCTGCTCCAGTGGTACGAAGACATGAGGAGCACCGAAGGTTCGAACAGCCGTGACATCCACCCTCCGACTCAGCAAGTGGACGGCCATTACTTGGGCATAGCCTCCCCCGAGCGAGTGGCCACAAAGGACCAGGCGCTCTCCAGCCTTACGGTGCCGCCGCAAAGCCTCGAGCACATCGTTCAAGACATGACGAGTGTTTTTCCCCTTCTGCTCGAGGGCTTGGGCTATCCCACCATGCACGCCGATGCCGTGCTTGAACCGGGTGTAGTCTGGCAGGACACTGAGATCAATCGCAGCATCCTGGACATCTTCCGTACCACGGAAGCACAGGTAAATCGCGTCCCCAGACCTAGCGAGGAGCCACTCCACCGGGCTCATGCTGTTTCCGGCGTGCAGGACCCCGACTTTTGGTATCGCCACCTCCTGGACGATGACCTCACCTCGAAAGTCCTGACTTAGCTCATAGTCACGACCCATCCAGATCGGCTGATTCCTGGCCAGGGTGTTCTGAAAGAGCCCGTCTTCAAGAATATTCACGACTGCTTTGTCTCGTCATCTAATATGATCGACGGTGTCACCTGCTTCCACTTTCTTAACCATGCCTGTAGAGGAGTCTTGCACATAAACCGGCTGCTGTAATTCGTTGTGGATGACGGCACCAGCAGCGGCCTCTCTTGGCTTCAGAATGCTCGCCGGATCCTCGTCATACACCGCAGGGCTCACGGCAGCAGCAACGAAAGCACAAGGGTCGGAGGACGCGTCGAACGCCTTCGTAAACCCGCTCGGAGCCGCACGGAGGGCAGCCGAGGTCACTTCAGACTCAACTGAAGCAACCTCTGAAACCGAGGCTTCGGAGCCAAAACTTCGTGAGTTGAACAAGTCAAGCGGCAATGCACCAGCCACGAGTGCCACGAGTTCGTTGGGTGTTGTGGCCTCCCGGTCCGCTTCTCGGGCGCAGCAGTGATTGAAGACGAGCTGGGCGGCATGATGGCAGTTCGAAGTTGCAAGATCATAGGGTCCAGTGCTATGAGCTTGCTCGTGCAAGTCCTTCACCTTCAGCTCCTCTTTCAGACTGCCGTCGGAGAGGCTCAATTTACTGCTGTGCATGTCAACACCATCCACGCGCAGCAAATTGGCGCCCGAATCGTCGCTGCCGATGAAGACGCCATGCTTCTGATGTGCGACCACGGGAACAGATCCAGCCTTCTCGAGCACGTATCTCTTGACCCCTCCACCCACCGTCACTTCCAAGAAGGAGTGAAGGCCTCCAAACTTTCCGGCGATGCCAGGAAGAGGAATCGTGTACCATACGACCTCGGACACCAGCCTCTCATCCTCCATCATCTCAGCGAAAGCATTCCCGTAGCCGAAGCGGGTCTCCCGAAAGCCCATCTTGCTTCTCAGGAACTGATCTACTATGCGATTCGCCGCAAGCGCCGGCGGCTGTAAGCCAGCATCGTTCCGCGCATGCAAGGGCAGGCACACGATGTCCACCAAGATCTGACAGGCCTGCAAGTGGCCTTCTGCAGCCGCAACGTGGAGCCAGGTGTTGCCGTCTCTGGCACGGCAGCTGGCAATCAGCTGCCGGTGCTGGGCTAGGCGAGTGGCTGGCAGCTTGCACAGCAGCTTCAACGCCAGCTTGGAAAGCAGTGGCGAACCAGACACCAGGGGCAGTATGCTGACCACCAAGGCGACGAATTGCTCGGAGAGTCCAAAGAAATCAACATGCGCATCGCCGGCATCATCATGCAACAATGACAACATCTTGCTCCAATGCTGAAGAAGCGACTCAAGCGACTCAGCTGGCATCCGCTCATGTAGAAGATGTAAGGTCAAGTCTTTCACGTGCTTGTTGGAATGCGCCAGGAGAGTCATGATCTGCTCGGCCTGCTCCGCACTCCAATGGTCCGGCAGCCGCGTGTCTGCAAAGTCCGAAACTATGGCTATGGGCAGATCTTTCCCCGTCGAGGGATCCAGGACTAGACCGAGTAGTCTGGAAAGCCTCCTTTTCGAGATTTTTCCTTGCAGCACCCAAAATGACCACGACTGCAGCTCTGAGTCGGCCAAGAGTGGTGGCACTATTTCCTCGAAATACTCATCCAGGAGCTTGGCCGAGACCTTCTGCTTGAAGGCTGCCTTGGCCAGGTCCCCGTAGGCTGGATGTTTGAGCAGCTGGATCGGTATCTCGTCGCAGCGCGGGTGCTGGCTCAAAAATCTTCTAAATTTAGCCAGCCTGTTGTGATTGTAGTTGTAGGCCGTAAGACCAACCAAAATGGCGCCTACCACGTATGCATCGGGCAGTCCTGTTACGGCCCAGCCCAGTCCTGCTGCCGCGGCAGCTATTCCTGCAAGTCTTGCAGCATCCATTTTCGTCAGCGTACTGGAGTCGGGCGTAACCAAGTCCCGAAGAATCGCGTCCAAGCGCTGACGATACTCCTCGTCATGGCAGACGCATACTGTCCGAGCATGAAACGAAGGCGTTCGATGGCTCAGGGACTGCCGCCGGCTTCTTCTCCAAAGTGGCATACAACTTCCAAGCCACACCGCTGTAGCTCCCTTGCAGCCAAAGCCGGGCGAAGAGCGCGGGCGGCCCCAGGGGAAATAAGCCCGGAACGTCGCATGCGGTGCAAGCAGCGAGGAAGGAGCCGGGTTCCAGGGTCTCAGCTCCGCCATTCTCCCCTGGCCTTGAGAAGTTAATGACTGAAGCGACTTCGGATTCGGGGTTGCAGGTGGACGTCCCAGAAACTGGCTGCTCTGCAGTGCGTGGGGAAACGAACCCCGGGCTTCAGACACATGAAAGTGCCAAACGTCCCGCAAGGTGGACAGCGACAATGTCAGGAATCACCAAACCTCAATAAACAGCAAACAAAAATAACATCAACCTAGCAGCTGCCGTTCTGGTACCAGGAGAAGTCGTGCCACCACACATCGAGAATTGCCCCACCTGCAACAGGGTTGTAGGGTCCACCGGGACTGTGAGAGTTAGGTTTTGGGGCGAAGAGCATTTTGGGTCAGAACTTTGGTCGGGAGGTATGGGGTTTAGCCTACTAGATAGTGCTGTGCATCAAGTCGACGTGTCATCTCCCATGTCGGGATGTACGGTTCGCAATAAGTCCTCCACTAGCAGCATCCAAGGTCCCACATCGGGCATTCTGTATTTGAGCGGCCTGGTTGCACGGCCTGCGCATGCAAGCTACACCAGGTACTCCTGACTTCGGCTGAAGTGCTTCTACAGTACAAACTATTGCGTATAAGTCTATCTATGCATATACACATATATTGCCCACCGGAAGCGCCTATCTGCTCACCTTGCAGTGTCCGCCAGAGAGCATTCTCATCCACGATGGGCCCGCGAGCCACGTTGATCAGAACACCATCTTGCTTCATGTAAGAGAGCTCCTCAAGGCTTAAGCATGTTTGAGGTTTAGAGTTTAGAGTTTCGGGTTCAGGCTCAGCGTGTGGACACGCCTAACAGCCAAGAGGCTTCTGAGAACCAAGCAAGCTTCCACCCCCCACCCAAACGGTGCCTGTTGAACTGCCGTAAACTCTGCCACCTGAAAACCACTGAACACCACAAAGACGTGCAGGTCGCGAGTCGTACGAACTCCTATAACCACTGGAGATCCTACAAGAACAAGGGCAGCTGCTCTCCTGTTGTGGAGCAGTTCTTCAGAGGGAAATCGGAAAGCAAGAGGGGGAACGCAGGCGACATGGGAGTTCGGGGAACCGGAAGAAGTCTTGGGAGTGTCCTACACCCTATATAAACGACTGACCTTTTGTCCTAGATCCCAACACCCCGCGAAACTTATTGCATACACTGTCCTGAACACCTAGATCGGAAACCCCAAAATTAAAACCAAACCTAGAGACCACCCTAAACCCAAAGACCCCAAACCCCAAGACCCGAACCGCTCGCTCTGGCTCCTTGGGCCCGATCAGGCCCCTTGTGGCCGGCACCAGCGGCACAGCCACCACCACAAAGTCGGCCTCCAGTGCATGGGGCTTTGGTGTAAGGTTCGTTTTTGTGCGTTGGGGTTTGATTTTTGGGCTTGGCTGTTTTGGAGCTGCTCTTTAGGTTCTCGAGGGCGCAAGGTGTCCTGATTCTCATGTATCCTGTATTCCTTGATGCGTCTAGGGTTTAGGGTCCGTGTTTGAGGGCTCAGGGTCAGTGTACATCTTCTTCAGGTGCACAGGGCCCGAAAAGAGTGTGGGCTCACGGGCTTCGGGGGCTGAACGTGATCCTGTAATCCAACAACTGCCAAACACCCCCGCCTGCCCTAAACCCAACAAAACCCGCGAAACGGGGTCGAACTTTCATGGGATGTCCCAGCAAATTCGCATGGATCTTACAACTCGACTGCCTCTGCCATCAGCTTGGGCAGCTGATCGTCATGACCTTACAGCTCTGCCAGGGCATGACCTACATCAGGATAAGTTACTAGGATAAGGGCTTCGGATTCCCGGTTTCGGGTTTCTAATTATTGGGGAACACTTCCGGCTGAAGTCACAGACGGTACAGCGTTCGGCAGGTAACAAGCCCCTCTGCGCGCATTTTGAAACTTGGAACTCGCAGATTGACAGGGTACGAAGCTGTGGCAAACAGTGCTAGCGTTCAAAAAAGGCACCGGCGTAGCATGCACCACTTCCACTGCTACTGGTCTCACCCAGCTCATCAAGGTGACCGTCCGCTGTTCTCGCCACTACACCGGCCAGAACCCATACCCTTCCCCACTGAATGCAGCCGTGGACCTATCCAGGAGACATAGGATGGAACTGGTGACGGAATGTACCTCGGCCGACGTGCAGAAGGCGTAAACCGCACATCCCAAAGCCGAGTAGATGCTCAAGCCTCATTACACCCTGAAGGATTCGGTGCCAGAATTCCTGCGGGGCATCCAGACTTGAATGCGACTCATTCCGTGATAGCCATGGGCTCAGGTTTCGGATGGCTCAAGGCAAGCTCAGAGAGCTTTCGATGGTTTGGGAGCCGAAAATAGCGACATTCTCTTCACTTCCCCTTCTTCAGCTAAGGAGTTCAATTCTTTGACTCCGTTGCATGCCGGCACCTCAAGAGGAAGCTTCCAAAGCCCAACCCGGGGAGCACACTAGTGTACTTCTTGAGAAATGTCCCAGCAAACATGTAGGCCATGTAGGCCTTCATAGTATGCTTAGGTCTTCATAGTATGATTGACGGAATGTCCCTCAACTGAGGGTTCCTGGGCTCTCTGGTTACCAGCCCTTGGCCGTTGGGGGTGGCATTTCGTGTCACATTGGGATGAGCCGCTCGTCGACGGCGATGACTCTCATTCCAAACCTGAAGCTGTTCTGGGCCAGGGCTTTGGGTGCCCTGATCCTTAAACACCCTAGATCTGAAATAACCAACAGTATCATCGTTACTGCTATTCTTGTTATGACTATCACCGAACTTAGACCCTGATCTGGGGCCCGTGAACCCTAGACTCCACATAAGCATAACC